GGGCGGACGGCAGGCCCCGGCCTGCGCCTCGACCCTCCTCCTCCTGCCTGAGCGGCGGCAGCGGGTGTTCCCAGGGGCCGGCAGCCCAGCCCAGCCCAGCCCGTCCCGTCCCGTCCCGCCGGGCCCGGGAAACGGGAGCGTGTCCGGGGAAAGGCAGCTGGAGAGCGCGGCTCCGGCGGCGGCTGAGGCGTCACGGGGGCGCCGGATGCTGGGGCGGGACAGAGCGGAGCGCTTCCGGGCGGCCGTTGGGAGCCGTTGGAGAGCTGGCGCCGCAGGGTAGGCGGCGGGCCCGGGGCGGGACCCTGAGGGCATAGACCCCCCCCCTTCCATCTCCCTCCCTTCCCCGCTTGTCCCGCGGGCAGCCCCCGCGGCTTCCGGCTCTTCCCCTGGAGGCGGCGGCCCCGGCGGTGCACGGAGGAGCCGCCTGGAGCCCGGGCGGGCCTCAGGGCCTTAGGCCGCGGCGGGGGCGTTCATTGCTTCCTCCCCCCCCGATAAACTGTGGGGCCCTCGGGGATGGGAGTGGGCCCTGGGACTGTCGCAGGCCGGCTGTGTGTGAGGGAGAACGGTGCCCACCCTTCCCCGTTCTGCTGTCTGTCTGTGGGGCCCCCGGGGAGAGACGGCTGAGGAGATCCCTCAGAGACGGGTACATCCCGGTGCTTCCTGGGGCGGTTACTGGGAGGGATATCAGGGGTTAAATCATCTGTCAGTTGTGGAGTAAGAGTTTTTAGTAGTAATTGGATTAATTTCCAGGAGATGTTCTGCTTTCTAAGGATGTTCCCCCCCCCCCGTTTAAGTATAAATGTATAAGTATATATAAATATATAAGTATATTGCCTATAGAAGAGCTGGGGAGGGACTCTTTGCCAGGAAGGGTAATGATAGGACAAGGGGAAATGGTTTTAAATTGGAAGAAAAAAGATTCAGATTAGATATCAGGAAGAAATTTTTTACTATGAGGGTGGTGAGGCACTGGAACAGGTTGCCCAGGGAAGTTGTGGATGCCCCATCCCTGGAAGTGTTCAAGGCCAGGCTGGATGGGGCTTTGGGCAACCTGCTCTAGTGGGAGGTGTCCCTGCCCATGGCAGGGGGGTTGGAACTCGATGATCTTTGAGGTCCCTTCCAACCCAAACCATTCTATGATTCTATAAATGCATAGTGCATACCTAAGAGAGGTATGCAGTCTTTATTCTATGGTAAACATGAATAGGAATTATGTTGACTGATTTTTAGGAGCGTTTTCAAATGGATTAACAGCGTATATATAGTCTCATTTGTAAAGTGTGTCTATCTTTTTTTTTTTTTTTCCGTAAGGAGCACTAAATTGAAGAATGTCTGGCAGTTTCTACTTTGTGATAGTTGGTCACCATGATAATCCCATATTTGAAATGGAATTTCTGCCACCTGGAAAAGTAGAGTCCAAGGTGTGTTTTTTTCTCTGTGATACTCCTATGATGTAATTAGAGTGCATTTTCTTTTATAATTTTACAATATATTAGAAGCATGACCAGCATGTTGTTAAAAGTGTTATTAGTAGCTACTGTTTTCTTGGTTTTTTACTGAAATTTTGTCATAGGGAGTAAAACTCTGGAGTCTCTTAAAAATTCTTTGCCAGATCACGCTAATTCTTCATCAAACATTGTTTCCTTAAATATTTGATGCTGTATGGTGAAGAATACATACGCTAGTCATGCTTTGGTCATTGCTCTTAGTGTGTAGAGGTTTTGTAATAGCTGTTCATTATTTAATGCCACTTCCTGTCATTCTCTATTTTAAGGCATCTGTAAACAGTAATAAGATAAAGGAACATAAATTTGGAAGCTCTACTCAGTCCTTTATTTTTTATGCTGTAAAGAAATTTTATGTTTGTAATGATCTGCAGTAGTCATACTTTCTTTAAGTAAGAGAGGTGTAAAAACTTGTATTGATAAATACAGGTTTGAAAATGTGAGAAATGTAAGGCTACCCAATAAGTAGTTTCTAGTGGGGAAAAAACCAAATTATCCATAGTGATATTAGACCAAAGAAAAAATAAACTTCAGAATAGAAGTGCATGCATGAGTGTGTCCAAAAATGGAAGTATATGCTGTCACTGATTTGAACTGCATGGTGTCATCTGTATTTTGAACTAGTGTCCCACAAAAAAATGTAAATAAGGCTAGTCGGGCTAGCCTCAGTGAGTGTGGGGATGTGTCAGACAGTGGAAAAATTAATTTTCTGCAAATGGAAATAACTTGGTTTGCATATGCTTCCTGTCTGAGGCCGAAGTACTAAATTTTCTCCTGAGAGACAACCTAAACTTGATGTGCACTGAAGGAGAACTAGTAGTTATTGATATGTTTTGGCAACTATCACTTCTGTTTCCGAGAGGTGCCATTTAAGAGTGAATTCAGTGCAGGTGCACAGCTGCCTGAAGTGGTTTGCATAATGTATATGTGGTAAAAAAAGCCTTTGCCCCTTACACTTTACTGCTTAATCTCGTCCTCAGTACGGTTTAATGGAACTTGCAAGGCTGCTAATGCCCTGAGCTAAACTTGATTTGGGGGAAAAACGTAGTACAATGAGAGGTGTGAGAGCAGCATTAATAACATCGCTATTTTTTGAGAAACAGTGCAAGACTGCTTGTGTTTCCAATCTAATAGAAGCTTACAGTGTGGTTTAGTCTCAGGTTTCTTCTTGGCAGATGCCCTCCAGTGTTCTAATTAGTAAGAAAGTATATGGCTCTGTCTCCACACAACTCCTCTAGTGTTAAGGACAAACACTGTGTTCACCCTGTGAAGGCCATTCGTGTTTATTATAGGAAGAGGTGAAATTTACATCTGTAAGCATATATTTAATATCTGTTGCAGGATGTTTTTCTGCATTAGGCTCTTAGGAAAAAGAAAAACCCCCCCCCCATAAAACAATTCTATGTTACTAGGTAAATAGCCTGAAAGAACAGAGCATTTAGGTGATAATGCTGTCAATTTTCAAATAGGGGAATGTTTTCTAAATTTTACTGCTCCAGTTGCTTCTTTTAATGTTTCTTCTCACAGTCACTGCTGTTTCATGTACAGCTAGACATTTTAAGTATATGCAGAATAAGTATAAGTGCTCATCTCAGGATATGTGAAATGTCTCTCTCCTTTGCAAAAGTTAAATTTTCCTTAATTGCTTTACATATGAGATTTATAATGCTTCATGATGTAAGGCAAGAAGATGGAATCAAGAACTTCTTCAATGACGTATATGACTTGTATATAAAGGTAAGAACCCGCTTCTTGTGGTCTCGCTGCAGTACTTTTAAGGGTGTTCTGCTGGACCTGCTCAGGCATCCCTGTAGGAGCATGGTGACAATGAAAGCCAAGGGCTGTTCAGCAGAGGCTCAGAAGAAGTAGCCCGTGTTGTCACGGCCTGGCGGTACCTCCACTAGATGGGGCAAGCGCAGGCACCGACCGGGACATTCGCCATCCGGGCCTCCTGCCAGGAATCAAATGATACCGATTTCCAAAACAGAAATTCCCACCAGTGTCAACGATGGATTTGGTCTGAGGAGCTGGTACTAAGGGGTGGCTGTGCACATACATGGGGAGAATGCAAGGGCCTGGAAAACAAGTGATGTTTAGGAGCTCTGTGCACTTAAGTGATCCTAAAGAGGCTGAAAGCTAATACTAGTTGCCATTTGAAGTAGTATTTTTTTCCAGGGCTGGGCATTGTGCTTATTGATGATTTTTTCTTCTTTCCTCAGTTTGCAATGAATCCATTTTATGAACTCAATTCTCCCATTCGATCCAGCGCCTTTGAAAGGAAAGTACAGTTCCTTGGGAAGAAACACCTTTTAAGCTGAATAAATAACTTCTGAGTGAGCGCTTTTTCCACACTTCCCTGATTATTTGAACTGTAGTTCTTCTGGTTAGTTCTCCTGTTTGATATCCATCTTCCTGAAGATTGGCAAATTGGAGGCTGAAGAAGTTGTTGGTTTTTTTTCCCAACAATAGGATAAGAACAGCCAAGCTTCTTTAGTTTAAAGGTGTATCTTAAGAAGTTTCCTTCTATGTGCTATGAAAATCAAGTTTAAAAATGTCAGAGGGCAAATAAGTACAAACTGAGAAATGGGGGTGTCAATGCCTGTGCAAAATGTAAGCCTCTTCCACAGGGTGGGAAGAAATCGGATCTGAACACAAAAGCCATTTCCAGTCATGTGATTTAGTACAAACACAGAATTCCTGATTGTTTGGCCTGACGTCTTGATTTTGTTACAAACTTTTTGACTTGCAGTCCTTTGCTAGAGAACTTACTCTGCAGACTAACCAGATTAACTTTACTCTTCATGGTATTAAATCAGGCCTCTATTAATACTACAATGTGTAATGTATAAAGTGCTAAATAAAAGAGGATATATCAGCAAAGTTTTGTCTTCAGTATTTCAGGAAGTTTTGAGAAAAATAAACCTTGACGTTTTAAACTTTAAAATTGCAAATTTACCAGATGTTTAGTGCAATACATGTTTAGCTGCAGCATTGCATCAGTTAAATGAATTAGACTAGAACATCTGTGTCTGCCCTGACTTTGATTCTAATTAACACATGGTGAAAAAAAGAAATTAAATTAATAATGTTTAAATCCACTTTCCATTATCAGTGCAAGTGCTGAAATTTTCTTTTTGAAAATATATTTAGACAAAGGTTTTTGAACCATGAAACTGTTTGTTGAAGTTTTAGAAATGCATTATTTGGCCTGTCTGGCTACTATTCCATTGTAAAATGTGATTAGATACCCTTTTACAAAACTTACCCTCATTCCAAAATGGGTCATTTGGTATATACGTACCTAGTATTTTGGTTGGTTTCACAGTCTTTTTAGTTGTCTTTGTCCTTTTGCAGCAAATGTGTATAAGGTTTCTTCTTGGGCTTTTTTCATTGTAAAATGTGATTAGATACCCTTTTACAAAACTTACCCTCATTCCAAAATGGGTCATACCTAGTATTTTGGTTGGTTTCACAGTCTTTTTAGTAGTCTTTTCTCCTTTTGCAGCAAATGTCTATAAGGTTTCTTCTTGGGCTTTTCCTTTTTTTTTAAATGTCTGAAAAGTAATTTCCAAAAGAAGAAGCTTGCTGTTCTAGGAGGTACATATTGCACAGTCTGTATATAATACGGGGACCACATGTATATGTGCTTTAAATGTATAGTCAGTCATTATGTCTTTGTAATTTACACTTTAATGCTAAACTGTCACTGTAAAATATTCCATGAGAAAAAGAACACAATATAAAGGTTGCAATATTTACTTTAAATAAAATGTGGAATGATGCAGTACCAATGCCTGTTGAGTATACTTGAAATGATTTAGGAGAAAGGTAGATGATGACAATAAGGCTACCTTTATTAGTGGGGTGGCAAGTGAAGATGGGAACACTTGTCTTTGCAGTATTATTTTGTAAAAGCTCCATTGTACAGAATTTTGATAATGTCATGTTATGTAAATACAGTAAGGCTACCTTTATTAGTGGGGTGGCAAGTGAAGATGGGAACACTTGTCTTTGCAGTATTATTTCATAAAAGCTGCATTGTATAGAATTTTGATAGTGTCATGTTATGTAAATACCTTTTTTTTTTATTATTTTTTGGTACATACATGAAAGTAACAGAAACACATGAGGTAAAGCGTTCTCATTCATGTGGTAAAAAAGCTGGGGGGGGGGGGAGGGGGGTGTGATAATTGTATTCTTTTCTGCCAGCACACAGTAGGAAGTTACGTAAAATGAAAGTGTTTTATCTCTTGCCTGATCTCTGAAGGCAGTTAGTCAGCCAAATGGTGCCTCTTCTTATGCCCCCATATGTTTTTCCCCTTTTCTTCTGAATATAGGAATTGTATATGGGAAATGCACTCTCATAGGTCCATCCAGACTTTATAAAAACAGCCTGTTCCTGGCCACAGGAAAAGGACAATTATGTCCCACCTCATTACATGAATAATTACAGAGTTTGCAGTGAGGAACATGGTCTCATGACCACGGGAAGGTAGCAGCGATTTCCCTGTGACCAGAGGAATGCTTGGATAAGCTTTGCTTTGTGACCGTTTTCAATAGGCTGAAAGGCTGCTCTCTGGAAGGGACAGGGGGAAGTTGTCTTGTGATCACCTGTAGCCACGAATCTGCCCCAGGTGTGGAAGCAGCAGTTCTAGCACACATCAGCCAAGGAACAGTTCCTCAATGGACAAAGCAGAAGAGAGACCCCCTTTGTAAGCATTATGTTCATGCCACATCTCAGAGGCTTAGGAGTAAGAATTCAAATGAAATCTGTTGCAGTATGAGAAAGCAGCAGATAACCTGTACTATGCAATAAAGGCAAGAAAAACATTTGTAAGTTAAAGGGACTGGAATTACCCTAGATAGATAGTACAAAAATGAAGCGTAAGAACATTAGCACAAGCTAAGAACATGAACCAGCCTTAATAAACCTGGGCTGAAAATGCAACTTAGACTCAGCTTTCTGCAAGGGTCTGTTAGTTACTAGTTAGTTAGGTAACCTGTCGTATAATTTAAGTAAGATCTGTTTGGGGTACAGAGCAACTGTTGAAGCAAGCAGCCTGGTTCTGGCAGCAGTCTTATGCCAAGCATCTATATACTTTGCTGTCACATGAGTTGTTAGCTGGGTCCCAGCTAGTTTCTTCTGCCCCTTCCCATTTTGCTCTCTCTTCTAATAAGCATAGCTTTCATCATTCACACATACTTGCCATGACAGTATTTTCTGCTCCTCATTTTAAAGGACACCTGAAACTTCATGTACATACTACATAGTATGCTCTACAGAACTTAATTATCACCAACAGGACCCCCTGACACTTGAGGTACAATTAGTACTTGAAATGAATCAGTGAATTGAAACGTAAGCCACAAGCACTTACCTTACCTCCATATCAAATGATAGGTACTAAGCTTTAACAGAGTCCAGGAATGCCACACCATTATTAAGTTTTTGGATTTTTTTTTTGTAACTATTATCTACATCTCCTTGTGATAGGACTTTTGTTTCCTTCAAGTACCTGCTAGTCTCCTTTTGAGACCAAATCCTGACCTCAACTCCTATACTGTTTTATTTACTATAGCACGTAAACCTGCCTTTATCTCTACTAGCCTCTTTTGTGATTACTGTACAGTCATGGTACAGCAGCTCCCAGAGCACAAGTAATACTCTTCTATTGTATTAGGTTTTATTTACCTTTATTAAACCTACTTCTCAGATAGAAGCTTGGTAACCATGATGTTACATGGAAAGGGGACAGATGGGAAAATGAAGACAGATGCTCAGGCACAAGATGACCACAATAGTTCTCATTCTTAAATGTTTCCTTTTAGCAAACTTACTTGAATCTTATCTAGAGTACTCTAGTCATGGTAACTTTATCTCCTGTTTTGCTTCAATCTTAACCACTGCTAAAATGAACATTAAAAGAAGCTTAATTAGTAATAGCAGTAGTTTTACAACGATTTCACATCACTAGCTTAGTAGCCCCCAACACAAGCAGTCTTCATTTTTAAAGCTTTTCATTCTCTCAGCTTAAGAGGAGTTTAGCTAAGACTTTCTTCACAGATCTATTAATTCATTGACTATAAATTCATTGGAAGTAGCAGCTCAAGCTATATTTAGCTGTTAGGTGACGGAAGCTTGAAAGAGTTTTGTTGCTGTACGTGCAGGACTGTAAGAATGAATTAGACTTAAGAACGTACAAAAGGTAAGAAGATGCCATTTTTAAGCAGGAGCAGCAGATCTGTGGAGTAAAGTCATCCTGGACAGGTTCAAGCAAGAATACAATACATTCAGAAAAGTGTATAAAGAGCGACAAGAAGGGTTTGTTTTGCAAGCTTTACTTCCAAATAATTACACCTGTTACAGAGTGAACAGATAAGAGAAAACTCTTCCTGTTACTGTACTCTTAAGAAAGGCTTTTCTATTGGAACAAAAAAGCCACTGTACAGAAAGCAGAATCTGTGTAGTTTAGCAGATAACACGGCCTGCGCTGTAGGCCTCAGACCCTTTTGAAGCCCACGAGGTGTGTATGTGCATGCCTCTTAGCAGTCAGATTACACATTGAAGCAACAGCACGCGATCAAGTTTGCTATTCCAAGGACAGCAGGTACTCTGAGCGCCAACATTCAACAGCTTCTCAAGTATTCTACCATTTAACTGGAATGGAGAGCCTCAAATACACCTTCTGTGGTCTCATCTGCATTACTGCAGAAAGACTGTCCTATAAATACAGAATTTGTTTCTGTTCACCATCATGTAATGAGTACAGTAATATAAAAGACATTGTCTTAAACGTGTCCATATCCTAAAATAGCAAATTAAATAAGGATCAAATTCAGCTCAAACACTAGCTGTAGTTATTTACTGGTATTAGGGCTGAAAGCTGTCACTATCTACTGTAAGTCAAAGGCTTCCTGAGTTCTCTACGTATTGCCAATCCTTAGTTTCACAGTGCAGAGATTACTGGTAAACACATTCAGAGCTCATAGGTTAACAGGAACAAGAAGTTTGAAACTTTAAGGCTGCATACTAAAAATTCTCTTACACATTTGTCATAATGTGGATCCCTTCAAGTGCTATTAAAGCTGACTGAATAAAGCATATCTCTTTCATAACTAAAAATGGTTATACTTCAGTTACTCAGATTTTTTTACCTTACTGATCAGAAACATGCTAGAACGGGAGTTAAGGCAAAGACATGTAGTAACTTAAAAAAATCATCAGTGTCTTGCATTAAACTGCTGGAAAAATTAGTAGAGCATTAGAACAGTAAATGAAAGGAAAATGGACATTAAATATGTAGGAAATTTATTTCCTACTTAAAAAACCTACACAAATTATAGCAAATTAGGCGATTAGAGAAGACCTGAAGGTAATTTATATTAACTTATAATAAACACGTTAGAGATGAAGTACCACTCACAGCAAAAGGAATGTAGTGAGACTGAAGTTTAATACCTAGCATTGTTAAGAAACTGACTTCTAGTGAAACAAAAATGGAATGCCGATTTCATAAAAATATACACATATAAAAGTATCTTTGTGCCTGAATTCCAGAACAGTTTCTCCAAAGTAGTGCTTCTAGAACTTTCAAGTTTTAATCATATTCAAAGTATTTATCATTTGAATAAAGTTGGCAAATTACATTCTTATATTAATGTTTTTACTTGACACCTTCCTAAACAGAAAGCGTCATTAATTCAATAATGGGTCACTCCTGAATGGAAATTTTTCTTTTGCTCCCCCAAGAAAGCAGCAGAATATTACAATTTTAATATTAGAGTGAAACCCATTTGTTATTTTATCTACTACACCTTCCCCATCCTCTTATATAGCAAGCTAGTCAAAAGTAATTTGCCAAAAAAAAAAAAATATATATTTTAAGTCAACAACAAGATGAACTGGTTTTCGGTTTCCGATGAAGGTTTACTGTATCTGTTTGAATAAAGTGATCCGATCTGTCTTCAGAGGCTAGAACTCTTCTAACGGCTTCTTCAAAGGCAGCTGCAACATTAGTGGCATCTTTTGCACTGGTTTCAAAATAGGGATGGTTGCCATTATTCCTGCACCAGTCTTGGGCTTCTTCTGTAGACACTTGCCTTTCATCGATATCAACTTTGTTACCCAGTATCACAAATGGAAAACTTTCAGGCTCCTTGACGTCTGCATAATAAATGAATTCTTTCTTCCAGTTGCTTAAGTTTTGGAAGCTTTGAGAGTCATCCACGCTGAAGGTTAGCAGGCAACAGTCAGAACCTCGATAGAAAGGAGTCCGCAAGCTCCTAAAACGTTCCTGACCTGCCGTGTCCCATATCTGCATTGTAACAAAGTGTCCATCAACTTCCAACTCTTTATTTAAGAATTCCACACCTATGGTATGAAACAGCTGTGCATCAAACTTGTTGGTGACATATCTGTTCATAAGGGAACTCTTCCCAACTCCACCATCTCCCAGCAGGATTACTTTGAGGAGCGATGATTTTGCTGCCATTGTTACAGGAGTAGATCCTCCTGATTTCCTAGACCTGCAAAGATTAAGAGAATTATTAAAAAGGGAAGACTTGTGATCAGAAAATTTTACATGCATAAGTACCTAGAAAGCATTAAAATCCACCAACATCAAGTTTCATGTACAAAAGCAGGAGGATAATGCTAAATAGGTGAAACGCAGATACTCATAGTAAAAATACCCACTGAAAAACACCACATGTTTAAGAGGTGTCTCTTCCCCAGCCTGCAGTCTGTACAGTAGCCTAAGCAGGGCACTGTGTGAATTACACTTAAAACCCCCAAACCCTTCAACGTTTGTGCAGAAGGGGTATCGCATCACGTTCAACCAGTGCAACAATTCATTTATGGTCGCTGAAAAAGATCCATGGAAAAAAGTGGGGTGAGAGAATTTTATAGAGCACATGGCCTTGAACTAGTCACTTCAGTGCCATATTCCATTAGCAAAGCTGTGTTTAAACGTGCAGAAGTGAAGAGGAAGCTTTAGGAATAAAGCAGGACACCATCTGTTATACTGGAATAACTGCTGCACTTCACTCAAAATTGCAACCAGACAAGCAATTTTAAATTAACTCACAGGGAACACAGTGATCTATAGAACAAATGCAAATGCTGTAATTTTATTTTAAAGTCAGGTAACGAGGTATTGGTACACTAACATTCATGATTTTACAATTTACTCCTTGCAGAACAGGGGTGATGAATAGGATACTGTTAGAACTACTATAAAAGCAAATTCACTGTTGCTACTTCAAATGGTACTCAAGATGCCAAATCACAGAATCTTCTAGGTTGGAAGGGACCTCAAAGATCATCTTGTCCAACCGTCAACCTAACTGACAAAAATAGACACCCACACAACAAACAAGAAGCATCACCATCACTAAACCATACCTCCCAGCACTACATCAACCCGTCTTTTGAACACCTCCAGGGATGGTGCCTCAACCACCTCCCTGGGCAGCCCATTCCAATGCCTGATAACCCTTTCAGTGAAAAATTTTTTCCTAATATCCAGCCTGAACCTTCCCTGGCGCAACTTGAGGCCATTTCCTCTTGTCCTGTCACCTGTGACTTGAGAAAAGAGACCGACCCCCACCTCTCTACACCCTCCTTTCAGGTAGTTGTAGAGAGCAATAAGGTCTCCCTCAGCCTCCTCTTCTCCAGACTGAACAACCCCAGCTCCCTCAGCCTCTCCTCATAAGACTTGTGTTCCAGACCCCTCACCATCTTTGTCGCCCTTCTCTGGACCCGCTCCAGCACCTTAATGTCTTTTTTATGGTAGGGGGCCCAAAAACTGGACACAGTACTCGAGGTGGGGCCTCACCAGTGCTGAGTACAGGGGGACGATCACCTCTCGGGCCCTACTCGCCACGGGCAAGCCCCCACTAACAGTCCTGCTAGTAGGTGTCAACTTCCCATGGTAAAATTGTCAAAAAGCCTGGAAGTGCTAGGGAATAGTCCATCTGCAAGAACAGGGACCATGCACCAATGAAACATTTTTACTGTCAGACTTAAAAAAAAATTTTAAAAAAATATCTTTTAACACAAAAGTAGTTAGCTCATTAGCATTTTGTATCAGCCCAAGCTTTGCACTCATTACAGTACTGTTATTTAATGGTGTAAAAGATTGTTTTAGTTGCTATGGGGTAAAGTTTCATTTTTGAAGAGCGCAAACTTAAGTTTCTGTACAAGGTGAACTACTGTTCCTATACTTGCCTGATACTAAACGAGCTCAAAGTAATTCAGCCAAGCAGAATTCTCTGAAAATAGCATCTATTTAAAATGGAAACAGGTCATAAATTGCCTAGTTCGTCTCCTGCTCTGAAGGAAGGAATGCAGTCTTGCTAGTTGTAATTAGCATTACTGGCATATACATCACCCACAGAGCATGGCTATGGAATTAATACCTGATACAAGCTGGCATGAGAGTCATATGACTCCGTGCTGCCTTGATTCAAGGCCTACATTAGGAGTGAGAAATTTCAGGAATTTTTTCATAACTTCTCATCTTTGAATGTTTATTTCTTAGACACAATCTAAGACAGAAGAACTGCTTTATAGTTTGAGAGCTGCTGAAGCATCAACACAAAGAAATTTCAAAATATAAGGAACAGTGGCTGTTTCCATTAAGAATTTGTTTAGAGCAAGTAATTTTATTCATTCATACCATGTCATTAAAAACAATGTTTAAAATCCTTCATTTTGTACAAGCTTGTATCATAACAATGTTAGAACTGCATAAGAGCTGTAAGTAGACTAGCTGTAAGTTCATTTACATGCTATGTAAATAATTGCTATGGCTCAGGATATGAACACATACATTTCTGTGTATGTGAAAAGCCTTATTAGAGTCACTGGACTGCCTGCATATGAGTTCCAGGTTCATGCTGAAATCTTTAAAATGGTCCAGTGTCTTCATTTATCTCCCTATTTCCTACTGTTGGTCTACAAATCAGTTGCCTGAGCTACACCATTAGATGGGAGCATCTTCATAATAAATAATGCATTCATGAGAACAGAGAGTACTGAATGTCCTCCTGTGCTTCCACTTCAGCAAAGAGAACAAATTACAATTTACTTTTTCTGTCCTACTGAAATCACAAGTTCCCTAAAAGACATAATGTGAATAAATAACTGACTTCAGGAAATCTGACTGGTACTATGCACATGTTTCTTTAGCTTCTACAGTTTGAAGAACTGCAGTTATTACCATGAAATTGTCCATGAAGCCATATTTTAAACAAAATAGAAGAAAACTCTGTTAACAGTATCTAGTGCTTTTGTTAATCCAGAACCAGAGAAGTTATTTTGCACAATTTCAACTATACGGGCCATTACAGTGAGTGCTAGGAGGCTGATGACTGTAAAAATACTTTTACTGGGCAGACAATTATAGACCAGCCACACACCATTAAAAGTGTCTTTTCAATAAAACCAAGCTGGTCCCTCTACACAAAGGCTACAGAAACAGTCTTCCCAGGACTGGATGTTGTCGGCAACATCACTTTTCAGGACATTCAGCTTCCACAGTAGAAGCTGTCATGCTTAGCTAGCAGTTTATGTTTTAAAGTTTTTAATCCAAAATAAGTGGGATATATGTTCAGTCATTTAAATACACACAAGCTGGATCTGAAGTGATTTAGAGCACCCACAGAACCAGGATGTTTTCAGTATAGTAGGCTGCTGCATTTTTTCCACTTACACATCTTTAAGGTATGATTTTTAAATAGCTCAATTTTTGTAATTTTTTTTTTTTCCTAAGTTATGAAGCCTTAACACTCCAATAAGGTAATAAGTCCTTAAGATCTGGAGAATTAACGTTATTTCTCCTATTACATACTTAAAACTTATTTGTGTAACATGCTTTTTGACAAGGTTCTTAGAAGGAACAGTCAACATCTGATACATTTCTGAACGTTTATCACCTTAACAGTCCAGTTTAATTCATCGTTTGGTATCTGGAAACAAAACAAAAACTTAATTTCCAATGTGCATGTGACTATTTTAATCATCGTCAGGAATTGCAAGACACCATAGAACTACAGGTAACTACTTGCTCTGGTTATTTCTTACTGTGCTGCACAATTAGTTTAATGTAGAAGTCTACTACACAGAGGAGTCCTTAAAGAGAAGATTTTTTTTCCCCTCGTGTTCCTCTATCATTTCTATACTCCCAAGAAATTCAGAGCAAATAAATAAAAGGCAGCCCCACTCTGGTGCATTTGGATAACTGTTTCTGAATTGCCTCCATATGTACCGTAATACAAAAAGTAGTGTAATTGTCACCTCCTAGAAGCTCCCTTTTAAACAGTGAACTGAATTACATCAAACATTTCCATCAGCAGTCCAAACATTTGCTGGCAAGACTAAAAACAACATGCTAAGCAACTTCAAAAAAATAAATCAGTGTACACTACAGAATCTTTGATTTCCAGCCCCTCAAAGGTTAGAGAAACACCACTGCCTTATCCAGTCTATCCATCTACATTTTCTTAATTCCATGACAGCTTTGTAGCTGCCTTTTTGAGTGCAATCACCTCTTTTAACACTTAGATAATGAGGCAGCACTCAAAGAAAAACAAGTTTCTTGGTCTAGAAAACCATAGCAGCAACATGCAAACTTAGTTTAGGAATTTCTCTTTTTTTTCTACTACAAAAATAATTTAATAGATTAAGGAGGACCCGAGTACTAAAGACTGAAGAGAGGTGCTGAACTCAAGTTTTGTCTATGGAAAACTAGTGTTCGCCAACACCACAATTGCATTGCATCTATGACGTCAGCAAGCTACAACCCCACTAAAACTATTAAGCAAACAGAGTCAATTGGAACAATTTATAGTTTCACTTTTACCATACTGATACCAGGCAGAGTAGCTCAACATAAAAAAAAAAAATTAGTTACCTAGCAACTGAAATCTCACCCCTACCCTCTCTTTTTAATAAAAGACACCAAAAACTGTATCTGTTGCAACAGCACCACTGAATTCCCTTCATATTCTTGAAGAAATAGATGTAAGGGACACTTCAGATTTCTAAACTATTGTTTCTCCATTTGTACCTACTTTATTACTTAGAAACAGGCAAGAAAATTTATTTTAACCACGATTTTCAGCCAGCAGTCACTGATAAACCACCTGCTATATGAAATCAAGGCTAAACCCAAAGGTTTCCTTAAAGATTTGTGGTACAGCGTTTAACTAAAGTTGCTAAAGAGCACCCATTTGACTTCGAGAAGTAAAAAAAAAAACAAACCCAAGGTAAGGCAGACTTGAGTTTGTTCCAACTAACCTCATTTATTTACAGCCTAATACACTTTCAGACAAGACTTCTTAAAAAAGGGGCCATCTTTGTTATAGATGTAAGAAACACTCTCTCAAAGCTACTGACAAGCAGAATTATCAGTTCCATAACGAGCATAACAGTAACACTGACCATGTTTCATAACTTCCTATCTATATTTTTAGATTTACACATATAGAACACTGTCATTTCAGCTCTGAAGCTTATTTAAAATTTTCTTTGCTGAGCCATCTTATTTTGTTAAACCACAGGTATCAGACATTAATATTTTTAAAAGGCACACCAACACTTCAAGTATTTTGTCTCACAAAAACATTTGCCTTTAAATAACATAGTGTAAACTTACTCCCTTATTAGTAATTTTTTTTCTTCACACTAACAAAGCATTTGACATTATTTACCAGGCTAGCACTAAAAAAGTTGTTTCCTGTGGTTTGTTAGTTGCAGACTCTCATGAAAAAGTTACATAAATTGCTTCTCTGGGAAACTTCTGAAAAAAAGTCCCAAGAACTATCAGAATTGCAGCAGCAGAGGCAGAATCCAGAACTATGCAAAGCAGTTTTCAAAACTTACACTTCACTTACTGTTTGTGGAGTTCTTACATCTCTCAGCCCTCAATCACTACAGAGCAGTTAAAATTGTCACCTACAGCAGATCTGCAAGTTTCCAGAAACCTGAAAAGAAAGGACAGAAGCAAATTTTCTCCTCTTTCTCTGCTTTGTTAATCCTTGCTCCTGTATTTAGAAAGTGCTAGTTTACACCTTGGCCAATGAATTGGCACACAAACTGTTTTTTGGTTCATAGGAGGCCACAAGCCTACTGAGATACTAATCATCTTGCAAGTCTTCCTTCCTTGATCTCTGATTTCACCATTGCACTGTGAGGGTAGTTTGTGTTTTCTGTTGCACAGCTCTTCAATAATTTGATGACAGATTATCTGAGAATCACCTCTTGCTGTAAGCAGCCTGGACGTGCTTTATCTAACACCAGAATATCACTAGAGTTTAGTCGTGATAATACGAATACAACCCAAAATGAAGTGACATAGCTGTTGTTTTCCATTTATGTATCAAAAACTTGTATTTGGGGGTTTCTTTACAAGATTATTTTCAGGCAGTTCAGGACTCTAGCTCAAACAGTTGCCTGGCATGACTCAGGTCTATGAAAGAAGCAGCAGTCAAGGGAAGGAACCTTTGAGTCTACCTAACCCCTGGATCATGAAATCATCCCAGTACCTACTGCCAGAATCAATTCATTTCTTCTAATTTACATCTAGACACAAACTCAATCAGCAAAACTTGCTGGGAGAAATACCTACATTTATACCTCTGCTAGTTTGATCTTACAGAGACCTGGCACTCGCTCTCCATCTCATTTCCTATGTTCAAGTAGAACAAGCAGATGAAATTAATCATAGTTGATGCTTTTCAGCAGCTCACAGTTGAGCATCTCCCGCCTTAAGTATTCCACTACTTTCAGCCAACTTCAAAACACCCTTAAGAGCTGCTGCTCTTGGTCCAACATTTCTAACAATTCATGAGTTAATTGACATTCTCCTTGCAACCTACTCCTCTGTTGCTGCTTCCACTCTTTCAATAACTTATCAAGCAATTATTTCTGCTCACATTTGCTCATCTTTCTCCCTTGCCTTAGTTTCCCTTTTCCTCCATGGATTCTTAGCAATAGCAGCCTCTGTTGGTCAGGATACATTGTGCATTGATGTTCTTCCCAATATAACTGTGAGCAAAGCCCATCCCTAAGGGATTAAGTGGGTTACACTGTACCAGGCCAACACACTGTCTGCTCTGGAGAGAATCAAAACAAAAAACACAACACCTAGGGAAGTGAACATTATAAAAAACGATACAAGGAATTCTTACAAGCCTTTTTGCCGGGTAGTGTCTATTCATTGTGAAACATTTATGTAAAACTCCAATCTGAAGGAGCTGAAAGATCTGTTTCTCATGATTTATTACTAAAATGACACAAAATTGAATACAGCTTGAATCCAAATACCTCATTTGACCCTTTGCAAATTTTTTCACTTATTTTCAATTTAAGAAACTTGATGGCTTGCTTGAGCACTCAAAAGCAACACAAGGGCTGCTAGAGTGTTTTTGGCTTTGGAGTTTGGTTTTTTTTGTTGTTGTTTCTTTTTGTGTTTTTTTTTTCTTTAAACACCCCACACTCCCTATTTTTCAACTTAACATAAAAGGCTATAAAGGCTTTACTAAAATTAAGGCAACAAACAAAGCTCCATAAAACCTGAAGACAGAAAAATAACAGTTCATTTTAAAGTCCATGTTGATACTGACACACAGATATAGCTGTACCATTTGGTTAGGTTTCTCTAGAAATAAAAGTGCTAGAGGAAAAAAAAAAAAAAAAGGCTTGGATTTATTTTGGGTATATCTGAGAAACAGCCCTCCCTCCAGTCTGCCATTATAGCTTGCTAGAATTACAGCTACTAGAAAGTCACAAAAAAAATTCCCCAAAAAACCCAGCCATACACAATCACCCTTGCTCTAAAAAAAGCGAGCACAGACAACTTCAGGGTTGTTGTACAACACTTTAAGAGACAAATGAAAACCACATGCTTATTTAGTAGAGCTGTAAATTAACGTGGACAAGAAGGAAGGAAGGAAAACGTGTGAGGTGGCAGACTGCATGACAGCTATCTGCAGACAAGCGCTTTAATTCCAAAGCAAAATTTAGCCAAACTCCCTACTTGCCTTCCCCACCCAAGTTAAAACAAATAAGTATTCTCTATGTATCTAGCTATATATAACTTTGCTGCAAAGGCCACTAATATCGGGTTTTAAAGCTAGTTCTCTTGCGCTATTCTGTTATCCATGCAATTATTTTGCACAAGTAACATTCAACACAAGACTAGTTACACTGAAAACTGCTCGTTAACCACACAGACAATCTTAACCCGACCCTTTTGGTTCTCCTGCCATCACCACCGCCTAAGTTTGCCCAGGCCACCTGCCACCGCCAGGAAAGCACCCGGCCGTTGCGGGGGAGAGCGACATCAAGTCACCGGTTCAAAAAAAGAAGAACTAAAAACGTAAAGCCCGTTGCTCCGGCTCCCCCTCGGGAAAAGTTCTTCAGCAGGCGGCCACGGGAAAAGGCCGTAGAGAGACCTTTTATCTTGGAAAGGTGCTGACAGGCGCGATACCGAGTTTCGCCCAAGCAGCTCAGAGAGATCCTTATCGGCGCCGGGGAAGCACCGCGGAGCCGGAGACCGGGAGCCGGCCGGGAAGGGCCCGGCTGGAAGCCCTTTCCCCTACGGAGCCGCCGCCTGCCCCGCAGTCACGGGATCCCCGGTCACGCCACACGGCCCCGCGGAGCGCCCGCCGCCCGCCTCCCACCCGCGCACCCGGCGAAGGGGACACGGCAGGGAGGCCGGAAGAGGAGGAGGGGGGGAAGAGGGAGCGGCTGGGACTCCCCTCCTGCGGGCCGGAGGCCGGCAATTCCCCAGCCAGCACCGGGAAGCCGACAGAGCAGGGAAGGAGAGAGGGGAACAGAGCAACACGCGGAAGAAGGAAAACAACGAGACGCCAGTCAGGTCCCGGCCGCCCCCTCAGACCCCTCAAAGGCGGGCGAGGGGGCCGCCCTCCCCGGGACAGCGGCCGCTGCTCGCCCTTACGCCTGCCGGGGACAAAGGGAAGGAGAGAGGGAGGTTGCTACCACGCCGTGCCCGATACCTGCCCGCGGGAGGGGGGCCGTCGTCGCCGGTCCCGAGGCCGGGCCGCGCCACCGCCCGAAGCCGCCGCCGGGCGCTGGGGAAGGAAGAAACAACATGGCGGAGCGGGCGGGGGGCGGGGGCTGAGGGGATCACGTGAGCGGGGTGCAGGGCGCATGGCCACGCCCCCTGAGGGAGAGGGGCGGGCCCGCAGGTGGCCCCGCCCGCCCCTCGAAGCTCCGCCCCCGTGGTGCGGGGGGCGCGGGCGGTGGGCTCCCGCGGTGAGGGGGGTGTGCGTTTGTTCAACCACCCGCCCGTGGAAAAGCTCTGGAGTTGGCAAGCGGGAACGGGTTCAGGCTGGATATTAGGAAAAATTTTTTCACTGAAAGGGTTATCAGACATTGGAATGGGCTGCCCAGGGAGGTGGTTGAGGCACCATCCCTGGAGGTGTTCAAAAGACGGGTTGATGAAGTGCTGGGAGGTATGGTTTAGTGATGATGCTCCTTGTTTGTTGTGTGGGTGTCTATTTTTGTCAGTTAGGTTGACGGTTGGACAAGATGATCTTTAAGGTCCCTTCCAACCTAGAAGATTCTGTGATTCTGTGAAACGGGCTCAGGTTGCGCCAGGGGAGGTTTAGGATGGATATTAGGGAAAATTTCTTCACCGAAAGGGTTGTTCAAGCGTTGGAACAGGCTGTCCAGGAACAGTGGTGGAGTCATCATCCCTGGGGGTATTTAAAAGTCAGGTGGATGTGGCGCTTAGGGACATGGTTTAGTGGTGGACGTGGCAGTGTTAGGTTAACGGTTGGACTAGATGATCTTAAAGGTCCCTTCCAACCTAGTGACTCCGTGATTCATTGACTCTAAGCACTGAAGTGTCCCTAGAGGTCCGAGCTCAGTGATGGCTGTCCTATCAGATTTAAAAGAAAGACAGCTCTTCCACTGCAAGAGGGTAAGACTTTCATTTGTTCTATAACACTCTGAATTACTAAGCTTTAAAACACCTTTATCAACTATTTGCAGGTCAGAGTTTATCAAGTATTTGCAGGCTCCACGTCGAGGGCCCCCACGTAGCCAAAGTCATGACTGTAAGGCAGCTTCTCTTTACAGGTAGAGACATTTAAAAACAGACATGTGTCAATGAAGGAACGCACCAAAACCCAAGGTATGCTAATCAGAAAGAGCAGTCAGACACTCCTCTTCTGCAGGAATCCAGAAGAACATCAGCCTGACTGTTTCAACAAGATCACAGGAGAAAAGTCTAAACAAGCTGGTGATAAGAGCCTTTTCTGTGCTTTTACGACTCATCACAAGGATAGGAAAAAAATGTAATTAAACTGAAAAGGGCAGAAATTATTTAAGTGTGTTTTAAAAGGTTCCCACATCATCAAGAGGGATAGGCGGTGGCAGGCGTAAGGAAAGAACATTTGAAATAGACCCGTTTGCTCGAGCAGTCATCACATGCTTCCGATCATAAGGGAGATGCAATCAGACTGGAATTGCCACTCGCAGAGTCATCTTGTTTTGGATCAGATTTACACCACCACCCAAGGAATGGAAAACAAGATCTCAAGTATCATCAAAAGGAAATGTCTCCTACTGACAGGAGCAGGATTATTTAAAGGCAGTCCATGCTAGAGGCAAAACTGATGATACTAGATCCATTCTTTTTTAACAAATCTGGACTTTGAAGTTTTTTCAGTACTTTTTTTCCTGAGATCTGCTTTCCTACAATGCTAAAGTAAAATTCAAGTAAGTGCTGGAGAGGGAGAAAAATGGCCTCTTTAAATAATGGTAATTATAAGACAGAAGTTCTGATCACTTCTAGCATTATTGTGTGATTTAAAAAGAAAAATAAAAGATCTGCATTTACAAGTGAAGGAAATAATTACTCTATTTTGCACTTGATACCTTGTGGGATGATGCTACCATCTTTTTTTTCCTTGGGACAACACTGGTTCTCAGACACTTGGGTGCATTTAAGGAAATTTAAAATCATAGAATCATAGAAGAGCTTGGGTTGGGAGGGACCTTTAAAGGTCATCTAGCCCGATTCCCCTGCAATGAGCAGGGGCATCTTCAATCAGATCAGGTTGCTCAGAGCCCCGTCCAACCGGACTTGGAATGTTTCCAGGGATGGGGCATCTGCCACCTCTCTGCGCAGCCTGTGCCAGTGTTTCACCACCCTCACTGTAAAAAAATTCTTCCTTAAATTTAGTCTGAATCTACCCTCTTTTAGTTTAAAACCATTATCCCTTGTCTTACCACTACAGGTCTTGCTAAAACATCCCAAACTTTCTTATAAGCCCCCTTTAACTATTGGAAGGCTGCAATAAGGTCTCCCTGAACCTCTCCCTCTCTCTCCAGGCTGAACAACCCCAACTCCCTCAGCCTGTCCTCATAGGAGAGGTGCTCCAGCCCTCTGATCATCTTTGTGGCCCTCTGCTGGACCTGCTCCAACAGGTCCATGTCTTTCCTGTGCTGAAGGCTCCAGAGCTGGACACAGTACTCCAGGTGAGGTCTCATCATAGTAGAGTAGAGGGGCAGAATCATCTCCCTTGACCTGCTGGCAGCACTTCTTTCGATGCAGCCCAGGATGCAGTCGGCTTTCTGGCCTGCAAGCGCACGTTGCCAGCTCATGTCCAGCTTTTCAGCCACCAGCACCCCCAAATTCTTCTCCTCAGGGCTGCTCTCAGTCCCTTCACCCCCAGCATGTATTGGTACCGGGGGTTGCCCTGACCCAGGTGCAGGACCCTGCACTTGGCCTTGTTCAACCTCATGAGGTTCACATGGGCCCACTTTTCAAGCTTGTCCAGGCCCCTAAAATTTTTAAAATTCTAGTTAGAAATAAAATTCTTAAACTTCTCATATAAGATGCATTTTTATTTCTTTTACATGGGAACATGAAAGAAAATAGAAAAGGACCATGCTGTAACCACAGTCTATTACAGTTATTTTGGAGGCATATCAATAGAATTAGTCTATGGTTAAAACACACCCATGTGTGCTTGAGGATCAGGAACTGAAGGTCCTTTTCCCTTGAGTCCACCCTGTTACTATTATTCATGTATGTAACAAAACCAGTAGTTGCTGTAGAACGATTAAAAACTGTAGAACAAATAATGCCACTGATAGGGTTGGTCACATGAGGTATACCTACCAGTTCTTAGGAAGAGACAGAAGAAAATGGCCAGTGAAGATGTGGTTTGAAACACATACACCAAAACTACTCCTGGTTTATATTCTGTGGAGAGAGTGGGATCCCAGCAGTGGGTGCTGTGGGCTCACCCCTGCCCGAGGCCACTGCCTGACCCTCTGGGCTCTGGTGAGCAGGGCTGGGGCAGTGCCAGTGGGGGTGGCCACCACAGGGCCCCCCTGCCAGCAAGAGCCACATCGCACCTTGGTGGCCCCGGTCCTGCACCCAATCTTGTGCCCTAACCCCCATTCAAGACCAGCCTCACCTCAGCATGGCCTCTTCCACACAGACTTCTCTGGTGGTCTCTGGAGTTCTGGCCGGTTATTGTCACTGGACCTGCCCTGCTCTTCTTGTTTGGGTGCTGTGGGATGGTGACCTAAGTCACTGTCCCTGGGCTCCTTGTCACCCTCCCTCTACTCCTGGCTCACCTCTCCTTGCACAGCAACCCACCCTTGCTGCTTCCTCACCTGCACGTTCATCTGAAAGCTGACCTTGCACCTTGAGGATTTTATTCACACAGCTGTATTCATGAAGAGATAATTGTCGTTATGTCATGTGCTCGCAAACGGCACAAATAACATCCCAATGGCAAATAAAGGGCAATTTTTGTGTGTATGTATGAGAAAGTTCTGTATCAGCAGAGCTCTCATATAATAGAGCTCGTGAATAATGCTTTTTACCATCTGTATTTGGCAAGGAGACTTTGTCCCATCCTGGCAAGTGATGACACGGCCTCAATAAACCATGACTTTGTCACCTCCTGGCTGAATTACAGCAGTACAAAATAAGGGGATATGAAGTCATCTGCCTTTAGGGCTCTGCTAATACCAGAATGCGGCAAGCCAGCCCCCAAGCAATCCAAGAAATTATCAACGTGCTCTTGTTTCTTTCCTTCTCTTCAAGGCATTCAATGAACCCTGAAGATTTCCTGAAGGACTGTAATTCAACATATTTGCTCTGTAATCACAGCCTTTTGCCCAGTAACTTTTCTTTTTTTTTTTTTTTTTTTTTTTTTTTTTTTTTTTTTTCCAGAAAAAGAGCTGTTCTTTTCTTGTTTAAAGAGTTGCAGTTCTTGGCTTTAGTAAGAAATGTACATAGCACAGCAGACTGAAAGGAACACATTTAAAATAAACAATAAACAGCACAAATTTCCTTTTGGCATGGACAGGAAGGAGGAGTTATAAACAACAAATGGCAGCCGAGTACCTCCCTTAAAAGTGCTACAGTAAGAGGGTAATGAGGGAGATCCAGAAGGCCCTCAACAGAATGGAATGCAATGGATGCAGCTCTGGACCTCACGGAACCAGTCAGAGTTTTGTGGTTGTTGTTAAGGGAGCAACATCGACTCCAATTAATAGAGCACCCTCGGAATAATATCTTTGCCTTTACATTTAAAGTTGGGTGAAATTCATTGTTACTTTAGCTCCCATCATCTTAAGACACGTATGACAAGTTCTGCAGCTATAAGCTGCTTGAGCTTTGAGTGCAACCTATGTTTAAGACCAGATTGCTACTATTAAGTCATAGGGCTCAAGAAGCGCCTGAATTTACAGCATCTCTGGAAAACCCAGTGAAAACAAACACAGACTTAAGCCTTACTTGGAATATATTTGCCCTACGTCTGTGTGGATCACCTCCAATGTCATGTTCCTTTGTGGAATAGCATCATGGATATGCTAAACATCACACTAAAATTAATTGTCTCTGCTTAAAAGAGTTAAAGAGATCTTTTTCCCATCTGGAACAAACTGAAAAAAGATGACTTCAACAACATAAAAGAATCTCACTTTTCGAAGCTTTCCTTTTATTCTTGTTTCTGGACTCTGATATTCCCCATCCTCCAGTAATCTAGACCCTCCTGCTGGTGCATAGGCTGTGTAATCACAAGGCGACTTTTTAGAGCCATTTTGAGCCAAAGTATACAATCTTATCCAGTCAAACATTTTAAGCCTGTGCAGTTACACAATCTGGGTAGGGACAACAGAACCTACTGACAAACTGCAGCCCGGAGCAGTCCTTCGCTAAGTGAAACTACGACCATACCTTTTTAAATAATAGCAATGATTTACTTGAATGACCGTTGCTCATATTTAGCACTTCATGCCTGTACACTATTCTGATATATTGTGGCACACGATATGGCCACACGACGTCTGCTTTCTACTAAACTTTTGAAGTATCGAGGATTGGATACAAACACTGATGGAAAAATTGCCAAAGTGGTAATGAACCGTCTTAGGTGAAAATAACCAGGGAGGTTCAAATTAGATATTAGGAAAAATTTTTTACACTGAAAGGGTTATTAAGCATCGGAATGGGCTGCCCAGGGAAGTGGTTGAGGCACCATCCCTGGAGGTATTTAAAAGACAGGTAGACATAGTGCTTAGTGACATGGTTTAGTGATGGGTTTTTATCAGAGTTAGGTTGATGGTTGGACTAGATGATCTTAAAGGTCCCTTCCAACCTAGACAATTCTATGATTTTATGATTCTACTATCAAGAAGGTAATACAACAATTCATTATTTTGTGTACAGTTTCAGTAACAGTTATATGTGAAGTTGCGGGCAGCACATTTATCAGCATGAACTAGGCATAAAGTGAAACCGAACCTAGATGAGCTTTTTCACTGTGCTGGAACAACATTTGTGCCCTCAGCATCCTTACAATGGGCCCAGTTCCTTCTCCCTGCCTCCCAATATTTCCTGCTCCTTTCTACCAGTATTCCCAGATCTCCTCCTTGTCCTAGAGTACTATCTGGGCAAGCCGCAGCTATTTTGTGCCTGGCTTTTAGGTAATACTAACCACCTAGCAACTATGCGTGTGTTGAACCAGAAGCTTAGACTTGGTACCTCCTGAATAAAGGTAAGGGCTCCATCTCTTTCAATAGGAACACAAATTCTTTTTGTGATTACTGGATTTCACAAAATTTACAAATACATTCTCATCTTTTAATGTCACAAAGCCAGCTCTCATGTTCAGTTGTTATCGGGAAGGAAGGCAATGGAGGAATGCCTGCTTACAACGCTTACTTGGAAAACTACTTTAAAACGCTGAGTTTACAACTGTGAGGGTACCAAGGACTTGCCCTAAGAGTTCAGACTCAGCTCTCCGTTTGACACAGACAGAAGAAACGTAAGGGACAGTTGTAAGAGGGGCATGGTTACAATTTGTCTTCTGACTATTTGTAGTTACTGACAGTTGTTTCCGTACCATAAGCTGCAACTGCAGTTGTTTGTAACTGGATTTCATTATTTCCACATCTCAGAAGAAAGGTTAGAACCAAACGACCCTCTTGCTGCTGCAGGTATGGCTCACACCCATCCGCAGTGAGGCAGCCGTGCTCAATGGCTTGAAAAAGTTCTGCAGATGCTCGCTGTTTACTTTTTCTTAGCTGCTCAGTAAACATGGATCTGCAGAAAATCCCACTCATGTTGGGGCATATAGCTTAGCACTATATGTTTAGTGATGGGCAGTTCAAAAGAAAATGACTACAAATGTAGTCAGTATTATGGCTACAAATTTTACCCTTGAAATGTGTTCTATCAAAAGCACTATCCATGCTTCGTAACATTCCCCTTCGCCAAGACAAAACTTGGATGACCTGCACATTACTGGAAAGGCTTCAAAACCGTCTGCAGGCAGAAATTATTTATAAGTGTCCGTCACTGGCAGCTAAAAGTCTCCTGCTACGCAGCGTTGTGACACAGCACACTGCTGACGTACAGCTCTCCTCTGTGGGACCACAACCTCCAAACTGACAGCACACAACTCTTGTGTTTACTGTGAACCAGTGTTCTGCTTTCCTATGGTTCTACTGAAAGCTAAAAATAATACTTTGCACAGAAGTACTTCCACTTAAATGAGCAGGACTATTTGTAAGGATCAATCCCAGCACATGGGTAAGGGCTGGGAATGAAGGTCAGACACTCACCGAGTGGTGACACAGTTGAACACGGGGGGTCTGGCCTAATGCTTTAATATTTGTTTTGTATCAGTGCAATTCCACTAAACCATACATTTTTCACATGATAAAAGTCTAGGTAATGCCGCAGTAAATCACATCGCCAAAAGTTAACTGTTAACACTTCACAGAATGGAAATTATTTTTCGTGGTTTTTTTCCCCAGTAGAATAATAAGTGCCTTTTTGTAACATCAGGTTACACAACATTTTCACCATATAAAGGCCTGTCTTCTGTTTTATTTTCAGTTATGGCTGGCTTTTAGTTCACCAACAGCTATATTCTCATCTCATGTCCCCAACTCCTTTCTCTGACAGGCCATGGAGCTCCAAGACAGTGCCTTAGCCCCAAGCAGCCTCAGCTGTGTGAGGGCTAAATGGAAGCAGGAACTGGCCTTAATTCCCCCAGCAAATATGCACCAGGTTTCTCTGCTCGGCTGATGCATTTTAGCCTTGAACTACAAAATGCCTGTTGTGCACCTGTAAGAGATCTCCATCAATGCCAACTACGCAGTTTTATTGTGTTTATACAATAGAGTGAAACAAAACACTTCCCTCTGTACCTAAAGCATGACTTCTGGCAACTTAGTGACCCATTTCACCATCTTGTCCATACTCCAATAAGGAAACTCATTATGAAGGTTATATTTCCAAACACTACTACTGCTTTGCGGCAAAAACCTAACCTCTCGGACAGGGCAAACTTACATCTTCACTGCATTTCCTCAGGTCCGTGAGCTGATGGCACTCACATCTCAGAAAATTAGGACTCAATGCAAGACCTATTTCCTCTCATTTAAATATTTACAGTAACTCAAAAACAGTGAAGAAACCAAAATAGGGACACACAGTATGAACAGTCTTTTACAGACGGCTGTGAAAGATACTCAGACTTGGATAGTTTTCCCAGTTCAGAAAAGAAACTTCTCTCTGACTTCGGATATACGCTCCGTTCAAAGTATTCAGATAGCTGATTTTGAAGTAATTTTAAGTTTTCCAGAAAGAAAAAACCACCAAGGCTAATACTTGAGTGCGAAGAACGCTAAGGTGTTATTTTTTGATAAATGAACGCTTCTAGTACGCAGCCAGTGGGAATCCTGTTGATTCTGGAACAAACACCTGTGTAAAAACTGTAGCTATTTGATTTCCTTCTATTAATTTTTTTCTGGGTAACCCACACTTTTTTTTTTTAATAAAAATATTAATTTGCTCAGTTCAGGACAGATGTCCAAGTTCAAGAGAGGATATCCATTCAGAAATGATCAACTTCTATTAACTTCATGCCTCTATTTATTAAATAAAGATAAATTCAATAATCTATTTACTTTCTGAAATAAACCATTGTCTGATCTTGCATTAATTTCTTAGCAATGGCAGGACACACCATCTTACATTGTAAATCTGAACTGAAAACTCATTGTCACAAGTCATATTTTCCTCCCAGTAGCTATAAAAAGCTAAAGCAGAATTTCATCCTTGCGTGCGTTTGCTAGCTGCCTTCTCCCCCTTTTACACTCTTATTTTTCATTCCTTATTTCCTTAGACTAACTTTTTCCTCTCAAACTAACTTAATAACCTAAGACGTACTTGCAAAAAAGTGATTTAACTAAGGAATGAACCCATGCTGGACATTTTGCAACACACGCAAGTATGTGAACTGCAGTTTTGGAAACAGTTTGTTTACTGTAAACAAAACTTATGTTCTGTGGGAGAACTCCTGCTGAAGAGAATGAAAATTCCAAGTACTCAGTGTCTCTCACACACAATGTTACTAATTTTTACCTTTTTTCTTTTATTTCTTTACATATTGACATTACTTAAAAACATATACATTTATTGGAGCAATCTTCAAAAATAATTTAGCATTTTTTTAGAACTGATTTTTCACTTTTTAGTGACAGTATCTAGATAATATCAACACAAAATTTTCAATCATTCAGTTTCAAAAGAGATACCTTCTCGTATCCACGTTTCTAACCCACTTCTTAAAGAGGGATAGCGTTACAAACAAATCCATCTGCTGTGATACCACTGTTCTCCACATTCATTACAAATAACGTAAGTCAACATTTGTTCATCTGGATTTGTGTTTCGCACCCAACCTGGAAGAAAGAGAGTTCCTCTAGCGATCATAGTGACAGTGCAATCAAATTTTTCACAGCGCTTACACTTTATTTTGTTTGTCCTCGTACCATTAATAACTTGTGGAAGCTGATGTTCCAGAACAGAAGATTCCGTGTACAGAGCCCTGAGCTGTTTCAGTTCATCATTAGCCATTTCCATCACTGTCATCGCAGCAAAAGCCTTTGGACTCAACGTCCCCGATAAAAGGTTGTCTTTTAAGTGGCAACTTTTAGGGTTCTTCAGGTTAGAGATTTTGCTTCTGATGCAATTTTTATACTTTTTGTCACTTTTAGCATGAAGAGCAAAAATATGTCCTTCAATTTCTTTAGCTAGCTCTAGCAGTTTATCAGATTCTTTTTCATCTTTGGCAGAACCAGTCAAAGCTTTATAAAGAAGATCTGTACATTTACACCTCAGAGCTCTCATCAGATCCTGCTGCGGACTTGCTTTGTTAACGAGAGGTTTAGAATCTTCATTATCAGTGTGTTGCTCCCCAAAAGAAGCAAGCTGATTCATGCTGCCTTCTGTGTCATTATGTTCCACATTTTTAACAGTTTGCGATGGGATCAAAATTTCAGAACTAGTAGCATCTAATGCCTCCTGATGACATGGTCTTTCAGGCAGTGACTGCTCTCTAGAAAAGACACTGAGATGTTCAATTTCCTCTTTCTCATCCACAGAAATTGACTTTTTAACTGGCACTGACTGAACACAGTTATTCTTGTAAAGTCCTTTCCACCTTGATAATAACTGCTTTGCTTTCTTTTTCAACCCTGCTGAAGGGCAGCTCTTGAGTACTCTGTATACAGCCTTGGCAACTTCTGTCCCCTGAAGATATTCCATAGTCATATCAACATCTTCAAGTTCTTTAAGATGATCCTCAATATCTTGGAAATTGTTCTCAGACAGTAGCTTTTCAATACAATGGGCTCTGTGTACAATATTTTTCTGGTCAGACATTTTTAAACCTGAAAGTGAAAAAATGTTAATCGTTATTTATTGCAGTTGAGACATTCATTCATTTTCTGTATATTCCCCTAAGGTTTTCTTTTTATTTCACGTTGTTTATACATGATTGGTTTTGCCAGCTTTTTCTTGAAATTGTGTAGAGTTAGTGGAGCAAAATGCAAAAGGCAGAGGAGCCTGGGTTCTGGAAAAATGCAAGTGAGCATGGTAGTCTAACTCATGCAAGGAAAATACTGGCGGAAAGGAGAGTCCACGGGGAATTACACTGGGGTAGGATTAATGATTTTAAAGTAGGGCATGACACCAATTTTTAAGGAAAAGCACAGTGTCTTGCCAAAAACCACACTAAAAAAGGTATTGCTAGCAAAAACGTTTGTCACACTTGTTTGTCTGCGCATGCCCACCACAGCGGATGTTCACAAGGAGATTCTCAACTACTACAAGAAGGTAGGTAAGAACACAACCACTCTGCTGGAAGAGATTACAGGTAGGCTTTGCAGTGATTGTGCATTACAGGCACAATCCTGGCACAACAGAACTACCAAGAAGTAATGAGTTCTGAAATACAGCGGTTTTTGCCAAAAGCACCAGATGATCACCCGTTGATGTTTAAAATCTAGACACTGTTATCAAATTATACCTTTTCCAAAAAATAAAAAGGAGGCTTTACAGGCAACGTATCTCCCCCTTCTCCTCACACATACAGAGAAACAATAATAATATCAAAAGTGTTTTTACAGTATTGGTGTCAACAAATTGAATTTATTAAGAATGCTGCTTTTGGAAAAATCAGTTTATTTTTCTGTCACAGAAATTTAAATGTCTGGGACCTTCTGCTATAACAGGTATTTGAATAATGTAATGATCTTACACTGTTGAATACATTCTGTAATAGCTTCCCAATAATCTCCAAAGGCAGATTTGTAAGTAAACACTGCACTAATTTAATCTGAAAGTTGCAATGACATGGAAATTTACTGCAAGACTTCAAACTCAGGGTGATCATTGCTGTCACCTGTCCAGACAGAATGCATATACAAAATAACCCTCCTCAGAAAAAACAATGTATGTCTCAACATTTGGGAGCCTGTATTTAAACCTCTTTTTCCATTGTTCAGAGTTTTCAAGCATCTGACTATGAATGAACTCAGTACAAGTTGTAACGATACAGAAGAATAGAATTGCAGTGGGTCCAAAACCTCCACACTGTAAGGTGCTTTTTTGGTTGCTGGTTTTTGGGGTTTGTGTGTTCGGCTGATTTTTGTTTTTCTAAAATCAGTCCTTCCTGCAACTATAACCTACCTTACCAAGATTTTTTTCACAAATCCTTATAATAAATGCTGAGATGTTTGGCTTTTTTCAGTAAAATCTGTAAGCTTCCACTTTGCTTCTAAGAAACCCTTTATTTAAAATCAAATATATAGGTTTTGGTGTTAGAAGACTAATTTGGAGTAGGGAGCAATGTGTAGTGCAGCTATGTTTTTCACAAAATTGTTTGGTTTTGCCACAAATTAGATACATGCATTAAGGACAATCCCTGAAACATACAAAGTTAGAAAGTTTAAGAAAACTTGCACACTCACATTGTCTTAGTTAATATTGGCTTCTACAGCAGACAGATGGGATACCTGTGAATTGTGGTTTTTTTTCATTTCAGACTTTTCCCTCAAGCCTTTGTTACTTCAAAAAGAATAAAATTAACTAGCTAGCGTAGGCATGGTATCTGACCAAAACCAACGGACCTAAATGACTTTGTCAAGCACCTGGTGGAGATGTCAGTGTTTTCAGGCCATACAAGTTCTTTGCAAATGTCACCATAACTTGGTATTAGGGATTTCTTCAATTAAGTAGCTAAACACATCGGTTTGGGGTTACTCTGCAGGAAGTTTAAATAAGTGTGCCTGACATAACTTAGTCATCTTAGTGGATCTTGAACTCAAAATGTCATTCAGGTTCCTACACACAGAAAGAGTTAATACAACTAACACCATTCTCATGTTTGCTGAAAAGAAGAATTAAATGTAGAATGCAGAAATGAAAGGTGTGTTGTAAGTGTTAAGCGTTCCTCTTTTCTTAGGAGTTAGTCTTCTAAATTTGGGCACAAACCCAGTGTTTTGTCTGAAGCTGCATGCATCCTGATTCTACACCAGAAAATGTCATCTGCCTGATAGAGACTGCTACAAGGCTGGCTACACATGTCCACATTTAAAGGAACTCATAAGCAGGTTTCTTGCACCATCACTGTTTCCATGATGAAATCTCCTAAGAACGGGGGGAGAGGAGGGACAAGTGATACAGCTGGGTAATTCGCACGCCCTGTTGCTTTCTGTGACCACCAGCCCAGCTAATTTGTTTTCTGCTTGACAGAAATAAGTTCAAATTTTAGGTATGGCTTCAGAGCTCCACAAAACTAAAGGACACAGAGAGAGAATAAACCTTCATCAATTTCTATAAACCTGAACTACAAGACCAACCTGACCTCCACAGAGAATGATCTCTGCATTCACTTGGTGTGTATTTAAAAAGCTCCTTCTTGACTGACATTTCGAAGTCCTACAAAATCAATAATGGCTTTTACAGAAATTGATTTACCACTCCAGATGTTTCAGAATCGGAGAAACAGGATGCATTTTTCAAATACAGCAGTTGAACTCTATGCATCGTTATACTGAAAAGCACACATAATTGCGTCCTCACATCTGTTCTGCTGCAGGAACACAGAGGCTGTGAGAGTAGAAAGAAGGATTTCCTTATGGAAAAGGTCATTACTACAGCAGGACGGTTCCTTGTCTCCCAATCTAGGGCAGAGTTGGTGACAGTTATATGCTCAACCAGTATGATTGCCCTATGCCTTCAAATCAGTTCTGCTCTTTCCAACATGCTCCACTTCAAATGTAATTTTCTTCAGTGCTTGTACTATCTATGTATGTATTGTATTATGCTACACATACCATAAAATATACTTATCCAAATGCACAGTGCATTCATGAATTCTAAAGATTTAGCGTACAGTATGCAGGTTTTAGTATTAAGGACTATGGACATGCAAAGAAATTACTACAGACAAGGTGCTGTGCTGATAATTTGTCCATGAATACACTTTTGCCCTGCAACAAAGGTGAGATGGTTTTGCTTTTTCATTGAGGACTATGCTTCCCAGAACATTTCCTCTCTAATACTGCAGAGTGAGGACCACACATGCATAAAGTCTGTGGATATTGTCTGCTTTATGATAGTGGTCCTTGCTCACAGATACCCACCTGACCCTAGGCTGCCCACCAGGGTGGCAAGGTGAAGACAAGCCCGTTTCTGTGGCCAATCTCACACAAGAAATCATATGGTTGAAAGTGACTCCTTCAGCTCCACAGCTATGAGTGGACACTGACAGCTGGGGTGACTAACACAAAGCCTGGGAGGGGAGCTGGAGCCCATGTGTTGGCATCTGCAGCAAGAATGCAGCTGTTCTGTCACACACAGTGACTTACCTTACACTTACTGGACACCTACAGCTGCTGAGGAGCTGACTTAGAATCACAGAATTGCCGAGATCAGAAGGAACCTTTCAGATCATCTAGTCCAACCATCAACCTAACGCTGACAAAAACCATCACTAAACGATATCTCTAAGCATTATGTCTACCCATCTTTTAAACACCTCCAGGGATGGTGACTCAACCACTTCCCTGGGCAGCCTAATCCAATGCTTAATAACCCTTTCAGTGTAAAAAGTTTTCCTAATATCCAATCTGCTAACTCATCACCTCACACTAAGATGCTTTTTTTCCTAATAGGCAGAGCTAAGATATCCTGGGTTTTGGTCGATTTTTTTTTTAACCCTCTACCAGATATTAAAAAAGGTTCTTTAATCCAATCATGATTGGATTAAATGCAGTATATAGACTCTACCCTAGGGCTTTTTACACATATGCACTAAGGCAATAAATTAAATTAGAAATTTTAAGATCTTCTTAGTCATGCATAGACTAACTAGACAAGTTTATGCAACACTGATTTCAAGTACCTAAGTGTTATGGCAGAAGTTAAATAAACAAACTGAAAACCAAATATGAGCAATTATTTTAAAATAATTTTGGAAATTCAAGCACCTAACAGACCACTCACATTTAAGTCAAAACAATCACTTCTAAGTGAATGCTTTCCTCAACATGTACAACAAATAACTTCAAACTTACTAAGCAAAGCTAGGTAAAAGTAACAGAAAAAATAACTCATAAAAAAAAATGACAACAACAGAATTGAAATCCATAATTAATTACTTCAATGGAGTGGAATATTCACTGGTAACTGTCAGAAGCACAAGAGACAGCCAGCAGAGAAACTATTAAATAAAGGAAACAAACATGTTTTTATCAGTGACAACAGAGAGGTTTCTGTGGGGAAATCATTCTTGGAATGGCACTGGCTCTGTTGTGTGTAACTACTTTGCAAAGGATTTTAAGATCCTTCAAGATGAAAAGTCATATATATATCTGAAATACTAAGCTAACTACTCAATCATAAATTTCATCTCAGCTTCAAATTAAAAGCCAGTGCAGTGAAAAAAAAAAAAAAAAAAGTTGTTTCTACATTTGTTCCCTTATAAATCAAGCAAGGATTGGATTTATCTCCAAGGTTGACAGAAAACATTATTTTACAGGATCAGAAATTAAACAGATATTCCTGAACTTAGAAAGAACACATAAAGCTATGAAATGTCCTGTTGACTTCCTTCAAAACAAAAGGCAGAGCTCTTCTTTAATACAGGGAATCCTGCATAGCATTTCATATTAAATCTGGATGTCAAGCACCTCTTCTGCTTCTCTAATCAAGGCACAACATGATCTCCTGAGACAACTGTACAAAACGTGTTTTCATGTTCTTAAAAGGAGAATTGAGAAATTACTGATGCAGTGGTAACACTACAGTATATTTTCTAGGCAAAGTTTACTGGGAACCTAACTATAGCAAGCTTGAGTTCTTCCCTGCCAGGATTCCTATTCCT